TACCTAACAGGATTGAAATCATCACATTAATATTTTGTGCTGAAGAACTATATGTGCTTTGCATTTAGATATTTAAAATACTTCTCTTTTTAAGATTTCTTTGTTTTTATTGGAAAGTCAGGTCTACAGAAAAAAGGGAAGACAGAAAGATATTCCATGTGATGGTTCACTCTCTAAATGGCTGCAACGGCCAGAGCTAAGCCAATCTGGAGCCAGGAGCTTCTTACAGGTCTCCCATGTCAGTGCAGGGTCCCAAGGCTTTGGGCTGTCCTGACTGCTTTCCAGGCCACAAGCAAGGAGCTGGATGGGAAGTGGGGCCACTGGAATATGAACCAGCACCCATATGGGATCCCAGTACAAACAAGGGGAAGACTTTAGCCACTAGGCTGTTGTGCTGGGTTCGGCTTTCAGATATTTATGCTTCTTAAAATTAGTTTGCCTCTTGTAAGTTCTATTTGTAAATGTGTAATGAAGCAACAAATTTAGGCTGCTGATTTTATGAAATCGCACTAAATTTCTTGGAATATTTTAAAACACTTGAACTCTTGCCACATCTATCTACAAGTTTAGTTGATGAGGTTTGCCAGGATATATTAAAAGCTTAGGAGTTAATTAAACTTGGGTGTCATTTAATTGAAGTATTTGTGAATAATATCAAAAAACATTTCATTCATGGGGCCTGGGGCAAGAGAGTAGCGGTTAAAGTCCTCACCCTGAGTGCGCCTGGGATCCCATATGGATGCTGGTTCTAATCCCGGCAGCCCCACTTCCCATCCAACTCCCTGCTTGTGGCTTGGGAAAGCAGTTGAGAATGGCCCAAAGCCTTAGGACCCTGTACCCAACTGGGAGATCCAGAAGAGGCTCCTGGCCTCGGGTTGGCTCAACTCCAGCCATTGCGGCCACTTGGGGAGTGAACCATCGGACGGAAGATCTTCCTCTCTCTCCTCTCTGTAATCTGCCTTTCAATAAAAATAAAAATAAATCTTTAAAAAACAAAAGAAAAAAACAGCATTTCGTTCACAAGTATAATTTAAAATGTTCAAAGAGAAATATAATTGTCTAAGTTTTAAAGTGTGCCCCCAATTAAAGTCTCCTTCAAACTATTGAAGTGTATTGGACTTAAAAATACAATAATATTTATTAAACCTGAATATTTTGCTGTAATCTTTTCTTTGATTGCATTTTTAAATTTTTTCTGGTTAAACATGGAAACCCATTTTTGTATCCACTACATGTCTCTCAAAAGCATCCTCCCAAGATCACAGCAAGTCTCCCTTCATTACCATTTGTTCAGAAGAGATTCTTTGCATTTGTTCACACCTATCCCCTAGCTTCTCAATTATCTCCATTTGAAATTCACATTAGACAGAATAAAGAATTTGTACCTCTATTCACTGTGTATTTCAATTTTTTCTTCATACTCTTACCCATCCTTCCCTTGTACGCACTGAGAACGTCTTGCTTCTCTTTTATTCTCATTGTTGCCCACAGCACCAGTGATTTCTATTCTCCCTTATTAAAACGAGATTAGATACAATCAGTATGGCTTTGATGGATGAGCCTCTCAGGTGATGAAGCAATGAAGCAATTGATATCGTGAAAACGGCTAGGACCCAGCCTCCCTTTCAAAAGAGAAACTGGTGAAATCTCCACAGCCACGGCTGATGTTGATTAATACTTAGTTTCACCCCTCACTTTCACATGTATGCAGCCACAGGGTTTTTTTGACTTCATAAAAGGTCCCTCCTTCCTTCCTACACAGCCAACTGCACTGGAAACCAAGCCCTGGCTTCTTTTGTGTATTTCTTCTTTGTGGATATGGCAAATGTGGCATGAAGGAAGTTTGGGAAAAGCTGGTGAGTAGAGCTCTCAGGCTTTTTAAGGATTTGAGACAAAATTAAAACATTGAGAAAGAAAAAGAAGTCTCATTCTCCCCTTGTTTGACAAGAGCTCCTGCAAACACACAGTCACGGCAGACAATGGGGAGAGGGATGGGCAGGCGCACCTCTGGGAAGGGGCTGCTCTGGAAAAAGAGGCACTCACCAACTCACCACTCTTGTCCTGCCCTAGCTCTGATTTCTCCCCATCACTTATTGCCTGCATTTCGAGGACTTTATAAATTCCCCACTTTTCCAAACTTTTCTAAAGAGAAAGCAGTGGTGAGGAATCTCCAGAACATGAATCAGTCTTCTGGGATTCTTCTGAAGGTTAATATTAGTTAATTCAAGTTGATCAATGGTTGTAAACTTTTGGTTGCAGTGCTATCGATGTTTTGGACATTATCAGGTAGTATGCTCTTGTGTGGTTTTTTTTTGCATCCCATACTCAAGATTAACAGTTAAATCATTAAACCAGTCTCTTGCTTCTTGCTGATCTTGAGTCTTAAAAGGATAGTTAACATCTCCATATATTTTTCCAAGAAGCTGAGGCAGTCACAGCTGTGACTGTCTCTCACACTACCTAGCGTCGATCATGTAGTGTCTCACTTTAGGTTATTATATTTCTACATTCTGCTCCATCTTTGCTGTGGGAGCCGCAGGGCTATGCTAGTTAAGAGCTATAAGCATTGAAATATGGTCCCTCCTTTCAGACAGGTCCTCCGTGCCTCAGGCAGGAGAGGAGAAGTTCTACAATGACCAATTTTTTAATTTCGTCATTGTCTGTCTCTCCCTGGAGTATGTCAGATGAGAAAAGCAACTCATAAGCCATTGCATGCTTAGTTTATCTCACATTGCTTGGCACCCTGGCAATGACTTAATAAACACCTATTGAAAGAATGATTCCACTGGTACCCACAGATTGATAAGCACAGGCAAAAATTAATTTTCCTCATCCCATGATCTAGAGTTGGAAAGCTTTTATACTTTTGTTATCTTTGTCATGGCTTCAAAAAATGTACTGAACTGTGATTCATTATAAATCAAAACCTTTACAAAGCATACTTACTGATCTAGAAGTAGTAAAATGTGAAAACAATACCACATTATCCCATTGTTACCCAGGCTTGCAGCTTTCCAAATTTTTCATGTCATTTCACAAAGATGTTGGTAATGAAACACAAATTTAATAACATCACTGACTAATGGTGTTCAAATTCACTGCTTCTTTCAGGGACTCAAGGCTCATGGCTCCAGATTGAACTTCCTCTGAGAGCTCACTGGGTTGCATCTGACCGCTGGACTGTGCAGACACTAGAGAGATGGATGCTGCTGCTCTCTGACTGGAACAGCAGGTGCATTTATCAATTTTCAAAATCCAACTTAATTTGGCTAATTACGGGTTGTCCTCAATACAACTCAGGCCACTGCAACTGTACTTGACATGTCTTCTCCCTCTTGAAACTCAAACTTCCCAGAGTCATCAAATCCTGCAGAATTAGCAAGGAACCCTGAGATCCAAGACACACCTAGAACACAATGCCATGATGCCTGAAGAACTGTGGCATGTGGACCTTTCGCATGGCAGACATGCACTTAAGGGTTATGCGTTAAGCCTGTGCTCATCCTCATCTGTACTTTCAAACCTTGCATAACAAAAGCACTGCTCCAGTTCTTGGACCTGAAGAATTCACTCTCCAAGGAAAGCTTGGAATTCACTTCTCCAAGGGAGAAGCTTCTGGACTTTTGAGTGCTGTTGTGCCAAGGAGTTTTCAAGATCAAACTACTAACTAAAGATTTAATGGCCCATACAACTGCCTCCTCTCCTCCACATCTGGACCACCCATCAAGGATTCCCACAGTCCTAATTTGCTTTTCTATGGCATCAAGATGGGCCTTTAATATCAGGCTAAAGTAGCTACCCTAAGGCTTCAAGTTCTAGAACCACTGAAGCATGGTATCTGAAAAAGACCCCATGTTTCCTTCAATTCCTTAAACAAATAAACAAACAAAATTGGGCCTGGCATGATAGCCTAGTGGTTTAATCCTTGCCTTGTGTGTGCTGGGATCTAATATGGGTGCCAGTTCGTTTCCTGGCAGCCCCACTTCCCATCCATCTCCCTGCTTGTGACCTGGGAAAGCAGTGAAGGACAGCCCAAGGCCTTGGAACCCTGCATCTCCATGAGAGACTTGGAAGAAGCTCCTGGCTTTGGATTAGCTCAACTCTTGCCTTTGCAGCCACTTGAGGAGTGAATCAGTGGACAGAAAATCCTTCTCTGTGTCTTTCCTCTCTGTAAATGTGATCTGCTTTTCCAATAAAAACAAATAAATTAAAAAAAAAAAAAGTTTATTTTACTTGAAAGTCAGTTACCAGGGGAGGGAGAGGTGTGAAAGAGGGATTTTCCATCTGCTAGTTCACTCCTCCAATAACCACAAAAGACCAGAGCTGAACTGGTCCAAAGCCAGGAGCCAGGAGCTTCTTCTGGGTCTCCCATGTGGGTGCAGAGTCCCAAGTTATTGGGCCATCCTCTGCTACTTTCCCAGAGCATTAACAGGAAGCTGGATCAAAAGTGGGGCATCTGGAACATAAACTGGCACCCATATAGGATGCTGGTGCCACAGGCTGAGGATTAGCATGCTATATCACCATGTTGATCCCAACTCGATTCTCATGCTTTACCAAAAAAGATGTATGACAGAGACCCAGAGACTGGCTAAGGTAAAGGGAGAGTTAGAGTTCTTGGCTCTCCAGTGGTGCAACCTAGTACATAGACAAGGCCAAAATTCTAACTTTTCAGCCAGGTATTCCACAAAAAGAGTTTTTCTTACACAAATCCTTCACCTGTTTTAAAAGTTGGACAGCATTGTAGCCGGTTGTGCTAATGAAGGACCTCTTTGCTCAGTAACCGTTCCTGGTGGTTTGCTAGAAGGTGTCTTGGGGATGGGCCTTTTTATCTTCTCTGAAAGATCACAAACTTCAGGAGCACTTTTGGACTACTTTTTTTTTCCCCAAGGTGTTCTCCAGGCACTTTGGAGATAGACTCTGACTGAAAGAAATCTCTATCAGGCCACTTCTTCAGCATCAGATGAGGTGGAATGTAGTCAAAAAAAAAAAAAAAAAGATTTGAAGTTCCTGCACCAAGGTGCATGTATTTATTTATTTCTCATTGCAGCAATGACACACATGTCTAATCCCATGCCCAACAACTTACAAATGATATCAATCCCAACAACTTTGAGCATCTATACAAGGTAAATTAAGCCATTAATTTATCTTAGTTTGGGCCTCAGAATCTGTATGACGTGAGAAAAGTCACCCTAGCCCCTAAAACCTTGTCGTACATGATGTGCAAAACAAATTCATCACCCAAAGTATTTTCAAAGCAAAAATTAAACATTGAAATTCAAATCCTTTTAACAGAGTTGGAAATACAAACAGTACACTGAGAGCTGTCCTCAGCGGTTGTTCTCCAAACAGAAGGTCAAGAAACAAAACCAGGACAAGACAATGCAAAAAAAGAGGTTTATCTAGAAAGAGTGGGTAGCGACCCCAATCACATCTCTTCTTCAGATTCTTGTTCTCGTTCAGCATTTTTCAGGAGTCCAACTTCTGAGGGGCAAAGCCTCTTAAGTCTTGATTTCACAAACCTAAGGAGAATAAGAAAGCATCACTAAGTAGATGATATCGAAAAAAGAAACCCAGGGCAACATGCATTCCAAATGCAACCAACTCTGGATTATTTATACAAATCAGAAAAACATCCCCAAAATTGAAAATCACTTTCATTTGGCTTTAGGAATAGCTAAAACTGTTTTTGTTACATTAACAGACAAAATGTTGCTTTTTACTATGACATGATTGTTTAATGAAACAACAGGTGACATTTTATCATTTCTAAAACAAATAAGAGGATTTCGGAGATGTTACAAAATCGAAGAAAACCCAAATCAGTCGAATCTCTCCTTGAAAGCCACCAGCCAGACCTAGCAAAAAGATACTCTCTTCTATTAATGAAGTGCAGGAAGCCATGGCTGCCCTGGGCTTGACAGCTCAAGTCAAGCCTCATGTCTAGTCTGGATTCCACTTCAGCCCCTCCTTGCCCAACTTTGTGCTTTTGTGTAAGGCATGGTGGACAGCTCAGCTGGGCAGGATGGCCCAGCCTGTATCCATGTGGAGCAGCTAAACAGCAGTGCCACACACATTTGTTAAATCAGTCACTTTTGGAGCAGGGAGTTATCTCCACGAATATCACCCATTAATAGGGGATACTTCTTCGTTTTCAACTCAGCATTAACTCCTCCAAAAACAACTGAACCTACCAATAACATCTATTCAGTCAAGAGCCTGTGGAAACTGCTCAAGATCATATGCCTTGATTATTAACTGACTATGGATGTGCTGCCCAGTTACCCAACTCTAAAGGCTGAACCATGTGTCATTTTTTTACACCTGCACATGATTTTCACATTGCAGAGTTCAACGCATACAGGATGAAATGGGATGGAGTAACTGATTAGTTTCATTCTCAGTGACTGCTGTGGAAACTAAAACAAAGACATGGCTTCTTATTTCAAATTAATGGTTAAGGTAGACCCTAGTGTTTGCTCCTGCACCCCTTTCCTCCACTCTGAGCTGTGTCTGCATTTGCTGCAGTCCACCAAGCTGCAAGTAACTTTAGATATGGGCACTTGAAGCCAACTGGGGTATTTGAGAGAGAAAGTACAGATAGTTGCTATTGACTGGGATGAGATAAATACCAGAAGTATGGTCAGGGTGAATGCTCGTTTGCTCTCAAATGTTTTGTTCAATTAATGTGAGAAACCACAGAGCTGAATAATGGGTATATTTCCAGGAGACAATCACATGCCTGACATTGGGCATTTTGATTTTGTCTTTCAAAATGGCTCACAACAATTGTTGCTTTGGGCCCAGCACAATGACCCAAAAAGCTAACCCTATCCCTGCAAGCACCAGGATCCCATATGGGCACCAGTTTATATCCTAGCTGCTCCATCTCTCATCCAGCTCCCTGCTTGTGCCTGAGAAAGCAGTAGAGGACAGCCCAGAGTCTTGAGACCCTTGCACCTGTGTAGGAGACCCAGAAGAAGCTCCTGGCTCCTGGGTTCAAACTGGCTCAACTCTTGCTGTTGCAGACACTTGGGGAGTGAACCAGCAGACAGAAGATCTTTCTCTCTGTCTCTCCTTCTTTCTGTAGATCTGATTTTTCAGTAAAAATAAATAAATCTTAAAACACACACACACACAGTAAAACAATACATTTATAAAAAAAATAAAAAGAATTATTGTTTAGATAATCCACCTGTAAACCTGTAATCAGGTAATATTTGCCTACCCCCAGATGGGATTAGAAACAGTCTAGTTGTGTTTCAATATGAAATACAATAAATACACTAAGATTTTCAAAACAGTCTCTCCTCTGAGCCATTATAGTCAAGTGTGGCACTGGACAAGGCCATCTTCTGCTTATTGTGGAAATCTGAGCAGTACAGCATCATTTTTTTAGCAGTGCTGGGAGCAATAGGCCCATCAACCTGCTGTATTTCTGTGGTGATCACTGTTTTATGTCAAACAAGTTCCAAGATAATTTTATGATAATTCAGCCCTTGGAGATGAGTTACAAACCACTCCACAGTCAACTCCTGAGTGACAGACTGTCACAGCTGCTTAGCCTGAAATGTAGGACTGAATTACCTGCCTCATGACCTCCCTGAAGGGCAGTACTGAGTCTCCATAATGTTTAAACTGTTGCTTAATTTCTATCAAAATACATCAGAATCTTGATATTCTTGATTGTATCTTTCAAAGAGCAACATGAGGACAAAACTGTGGAGACTGTGCAACATGATTTCCATGCAAACCTATATTGAAGGAGCTCCGAAACACAGATCTATTAAAAGAGCCAGCAAGTGTTTATTGAGCAGCTATCACATGTTAGGCAGTGTGCCAAGCAGTATGAGGAGAATGCAAGGGGTCTTTCTCTCAAGAAAATACTCACAAACTAGCCAGTAACACATGAGCTAACAGTCAACATCCCAAGGTGTATCACAACTGGTAACATGTCCATTGGAGACAAACAAGGGCAAGAAGAACTACAAGACTTTTCATGGGAAATACGCATTTCTTGTGACTATACCAGGTAAGAGATCTGCCTATTTAGAAAGATGACATATGAAGGTGAAAATGAGAGGGTGAGACATAAAAACGGAGTGCCAGTCTCTACAAAACTGGAAGTGAGAAAGAGGTTTGTCAAGGATCTGAAGATTTTTGAAACAGGAAGAGACTATAGTCTTCTTTTGGTTCTGGAAGGGAGCTGACATGAGGTACTGGGTTTCCTTGAATGTTGGTACTCTTCTTGGAGGCAGTCGAGCCCCTAAGGAGTTGAGACCCAGATGTCAGCCTAGAACAACAGGGGAAGAAGTTAAGTTTCAATCAGTGGTGGAGCCTGCCAAAGCCCATGCACCTGCTTTGGGGACCAGGGGCGAAGGAGATGGAATAGGGACCAACACAAATTCATCAGTGGGAAGGGAGAGTTTTCTAGCTTTCAAAATTGCTTGCATGTGTGTAGAAGGAAGCAATCGCATATCAAAATGGGCTTATTCAAGGCCTAGCAGACACCAGGGACCTGGACAAGGAAATAGTTTGCTCTTTCAGTGCCCCAGCACCAGGACTACTTCAGCTAGATGAGCTGAGTGGGGCTTCCATCTGGAGAGGAGAGGAAAGCTGCTTCCTGCAGAGGCTCAAAGTCCTCTGGGCCTGCCAACAGCCACTACTTGCTAAGGATCCTGCTGGCTATGTAGTGTTGAGTTCAGTGATGGCACTCCACATGTGACTATGGCTACTAGAGTGACTTCAAATGAACACAGCACTAGCCGTCTTTCAACCACTCACTAGCTAGTGGCCACCATAAGAATATTATAGATACAGAACACTGTGAAAATTCCAATTAGCTCTGTAGTCTAAGGGATTATGTTCTGCAACCTTTATGCCTGGCCAATGGAATCATGAAAGCCAAGTGTGGGTTGATGCCAACAACCTTACAGAAAGCATGAGATCCCCTTTCATTCCTGTTCAACTTTCAAGCTATAGCATGATTTTCAATTGTGGGGAGCCCTCTCTGGGCTCTAACAATGATTTGGTTCTCTTCTTGTTCCACTTGCTGCTCTATAATTGTCTCTCTAATTTAGTCCCGGCTACAGGACTAGAAATATTTCATGGAAATAGTCTATACCTAACTCATTTTTTAATACCAAAGAGGCAGAAGAAGGAGGGGGGAACAAGAAGACAGTAACATTTATAAAACTGTTATTATGTCTTAAGAAGTTTAAATGCATGATATTATTTAGTTACTACTATTACCGACATTTTACAAAAAACAAAATCAAGACTGGAATGTGATTAAGTAATCAGCCTTAAATAAGAAATATTCCTTCAGGATCCTAAAAAAAAAGCACTCAACCAAATTTTATTTTTCAGAAATATTAGTCAGTGTCAATTGGCCAGCGCTTAAATTTAACAGGAGAGATACAAGTTGATTAAGAAATCCCCTGCAAACCTGGGAGCAGACCAGTGGGAAGAGGAAACTGCAGATGCAAGGATGTGAAGGCACAGAGCAGTGTGTTGAGAGCAATGGGGGAGGCACAGTCCCAGCAAAGACACTGCTGAGCTGGTTAAGGTTTGACCCAGCATCAATTCTTTACTCTGGGAATGTCCACATTTGCTGGAAAGTTTCTGCTATGCTACCCTGTCTTACAGGAGGAAGGGAATGAAATATTATTTTGAATTTTCAGCTCATCACTAGTGAGCCCTCACAATCATATATTGAAAAATAGAACTTACGAGAACAAAAATCACTAACTTACCATGTGAGGAAAGCATAATTCGTTCCAATGATGATGAAGGATAGTGCATAATGCCAGCAAAAGCACATGGTTAGAAACAAACTGTTTTCATGATCTGCCAGGTCCCATGCCGGACCTCCACTAGGAGGATAAAGGACAAAACCTATCTGCAATTTAAAACAAAAGTACAAATTAAAATAGCCAACCACTTTCTCAGAGACAGTGTATTGTAAGATACTTTTTCTCAAGATAAAAAATAGCTTAGAAAACCTCTATTATCAAAATATCACCAATAAGACACTAGGTTTTCCTTTCTGTATTAGCAATGTACACAATGTCTATGAAGTCATATTATGAAAAAAAATTAGAAATTACTTAATTATCAATTTTCAATGTGTAAATACTGATCACCTCTAAAAATAGGCAGACCTTCAGAGAGTGTATTACACTCTACATTGTGCATTTTCACTCAAAAGTTATTTTGATTTGAGGATACAAAAATATCTTTAAATGAATGAATGTCTACTACTAGCAGTATGGTGAAAAACTGAAGAAGCTTTTCCCTTGAAATAAGAAACAAGTATGTCTGTTTTCACCAACTGGTGATTCACTATTGTATCAGAAATTCTAGCTGGGGTAATTAGGAAAGAAAAATGAAAGACATTTATATTATAAAGAAATAAAAACATCTTCATTCATAACATGACATGATCTTATATGTATAAAATCCTAGAGAATTAGAAAAATTATTAAGAGTTCAATGAAGTATAAATACAAAATCATCATACAAAAATCAATTATATTTCAATACACAGTAATAAACAATCCAGAAATTAAATTAAGAAAAAATTCCATTCATAATCACATTGAAGAGTATAATTAAAAATAAATTAATTAATAAATTTAAACATCTGTATAGTACATGCATTATTGAAAGAAATCACGGACAAATAAATGAATAGCCATCTTAAGTTCATGGGCTGGAAGGCTTACTATTGTTGAGGTGGAAATATATAAGTCAAGGTACATAATAGATGTAATTCCTATTAAAATCCCAAAGACATGTTTTAAAACAATGAAAAAAATGATTCTAAAAATCATATGGAATTGCAAGGAATCGAAAATGATTTTTAAAATACAAATATAAATCTTGAGAAAGAAAAGTAAAGAATCAACACTTCTTCATTTCAAAATTTACTACAAAGCTATAGTTTAAAAACAGTGTGGTATTGGCCCAATGATCAATGAAACAAAATTGAGAGGCCAGAAAGAAACCCAATCATCTATGGTTTGAGCGGGTACTAAAGCCATTAAATGGGATACCTAGATATTCACATGCAAAAGAATAAATCTGGACCTTTTCCTCACATTAGCTAGAAAGTAATCCAAATTGGATCAAAGATCTAAGTATGAGAGAAAATTCATAAAACTCTTTTAAGAAACATGAGAAACTTTCATGACATGGAATTTGGTGATGGTTTCTTAACAATGACAACAAAAACACAATTACTCAAGAAAAAAACAAATTGAACTTCATTACAATTAGAAACTTTTGTGCTTTTAAGAGCAGTATCAAAAAATGAAAACTCATATCTGATAAAGGATTCATATTTAGAAAATATATCTTAAAAAACTCCCGAAACTCAACATCATCAACAAAATTTATGGTCAAAAGACTTAAAAAATTTCCCAAAAGAAACTATACAAATGGTGGACAGCACATGCAAAGATGGGCATCATTTTATAAGAGAAACCTCAGTCAAAATCAAAATGAACTATTACATTGTGCCATGTGGATACCAATAATAATAACAAAGAAAACTTGGAAACATTAGTGAGATTAGATAAATTGGAATCTCTAGTCATTGATACAGAAATAGAAATGATATAGCCACTGCAAAAAACACTTTGGTAAATCCCCAGGAAGTTAAATATAGAATTACCATATTTTGTTTCCAAACATTTACAATTCTAGGTATACACTTAATAGAACTGAAAATAAATATTTAAACAAAATGTGTATATAAGAATTCATATCAACATTATCCATTATAGCCAAGAGATAAAAGTAAGCCAAACATCTATCAAATGTGGTATTTAAGAAAAATGTGGTATTGCATTTACACAAGGAATTATTAATTTTAAAACAGAATAAAGTATTCATAATGCATGCAAAAAACATGGTTGAAACTTGAAAAATTTAGTGAAAGAAGCCACACTCAAGAAGTCACATATTGCATGTTCTGTTTATATCAAATGGGTAAACATTCAAAGAGACAGAGAGCAGGTTCATGGTTGTTGGTTGGTGAGAAGAAGGGAAAGGAGTGACTGCCTAATTTGTGCAGGACTTTCTTTGCAGCTGATGAGAATGTGCTAGAACTTAAGAGAAGAGGAGAATGCCCAACACTGTGAATGTATTAAATGCTGCCAAATTTTAAAACGGTTAATTCTATGTCCTGTGAATTGTACTCCAATAAAAAATAGTGAAACATGATGGATGAATGAATGGGTAGACAGAAAAACTTCAGGCCTCTAGAGTTAAATGAATTACAAGTCCAAAATAGTATCATGGATAATTGGCCATATGTCTACCAGATATTGATTAATATGTAAGTTATCATGTTTAGTAGTCTCCCCACAATGGCTTTCTAGTCAGCATTAGGGACTCCAAAAATTCATGGAAAACACATACTACAAGAAGAAAAATGCAGAGATTTTAAAAAGATGTGTACTGTGGCTGGCTGGCATTGTGGTGCAGGGGATTAAGCTACGTTTCAAAATGCCAGTATCCTCTATGGGAGTGCTGATTTGAGTCCAGCTACTCTACTTCTGATCCAACTTCCTAATAATGGGCCCCGGAAGGCAGCAGAAAATGGCCCAAGTACGTGAGCTTCTGCAGCTCATGTGGAAGACTAGATGCTGGCTTCTGCCTGGCCCAGACATGGCAGTCAATAGCGATCTGAGGGACAAATCCAGAGAATGGAAGATTCTCTCTCTCTTCCTCTCGTTCTCTTCTCTTTCCCTCTTCTCTATCTATCCCTATTCGGGTTTTTCTTTTTGGAGGGAGGAGAGAGGACTTTCAAATAAATAAATCTTGCTTTAAAAAATTAAATTTTGCACAAAAATAAATATATCTTTTCATTTCCCAAGAACTGCTTGAAGCACATTCCTATTACTACTGTCATATTAATGTACTATCATCTTCATTATCCGAATAAAGAAACAGAATGATTGAGTGATTTGCCGCAGGATCACACATTTAATGAATGAAATCTTACAGGGAAAAACAAATTTAGTCTGTAATATTGAGTGAAAATTTCACATGTTTTGTTTGAAATGTCACATCATCTTACTAAGTCAAGGAAAACTAAGAATTGTGTCTTAATCATTTATTCTCATTTCTAGTTTCCTTTAGTTAAAAAAAAGAAAACTATCATTTGTAGGTGTTCCTCCATATGCTGGCCGCTTGGCCTTCTCTCATGCCCATAAATTTGACAATAACCTCCAGTCCTCAAAACAATGCCAAGAAAAAGAAACCAACCTCATTTTTTTTTCATATTCCAGGGGGAAATACTGGAAGTCACCGGCTTAAGTAATTTCTCCAATATTACAAAACAGCTGAGTGACTTAAGAAGGATTCCCAGCTGGCAGTGTCTGGCTCTGACAACTCCATGCTCTCTCAAGACTCTTGCTTACCACACAGCCTTTCTATATGGAACAATGGAGAGGATAGAGGCCTGCATAGCAAAGCTGGTTGAAGTCATCTCAGAGGTTTTGCTATATGTTGAATATAACACTGAGATTGAAGATGCTCCAATAAAGAAATGGTGTTGTGTGACCCTTCAAGCATAGATTATATATAGATTGGCAGGCCCTGAGCAACATTTATTCTACCCATATTCTTCGACACATTTCAAAAACCAATCCAATATATAGTAACTGTGTAATAAAGACTATCATATCCAGATGTGAAGATACAATGCAGCATGCATTTCTACACACAAATCAAAGATAGACTCCCAATGAAACTGTTATATAATTCCTTACAATAGGGTGCTGGACTCTCTGCCAATACCTGCAGAATGTCTATAGCTGCGGAATGATGGACTTATGACTGCTTATGAAGGACTATACTATTGTAATAATATAAAGGAAATCAGTTAGGAGGGTGAGAATTTGGGGAGAGTGTAAGGGAAATCCCACAGCCTATGGAATTGTATTATAAAATTTTAGAAATTTAAATTTAAAAAAAATTCAAATTCCTTGACATTTAATTTTTTTCCCTTTTATAAATGGACACACAAATGTAAGCACATTCACAAGCCTAAGTATTTTTATACTGACATGTACAAAGTAGACTGCCCTCCCCTTATCCACAAGAAAGTAAATCCATCAATGGACAATTGAAACCTTGGATAGTGAACTCTATAGTATTCTATATTTTCCTGAACATACATACCTATGATTAAATTTAATTTATAAATTAAGCCGTGGTAAGAGATTAACCATGACCACAATTAACCAATAGATTGTACTAAACCTGTCAGCATCAACACTCTTGTGCTTGGGAATCATTAGTGAGTACAACACAAGTTACTTGAACACGAGCACCTTGAGATTGCGACAGTGCATCAGATAACTGAGATGGTAGTCAGGTGACTAATGGATGAATAGCATCTGAGTGTATACCACGGATACCCTGCACAGAGGAGTCATTCGCTTCCCAGAAGGAGGACAGAGAGATTTCATCACACAGTTCAGAATGGCAGGCAACTTAAAACTGTGAGTTATTTATTTCTGGAATTTTCCATTTCATATTTTCCAACTGTAATTGACTGTGAGTTACTGAAACCAGAGAAAGTGGAACCTCAGATAAGGGGGGGCCAAGATACTAAAGAATGAATATATACAGAAACTTTATATATAAATACCATTCTGTAAGTACAGTATACAATGTGTTTATAATATCACAACACCTACATAAGTATGTGGGCATGCACATGTTTAAATTTTATTAAGTGATATGCAGGTTTCTATGAGTATGGGGAACTATTCTTAAGACTTTTTGACACTGTGAAGAGCTTATAAACTGATCTCCATTGAAAAGGGAGAAGGGATTATACTTAACTCCAGTTCTCTGCCTTCTACTCATTCATTCCACTTTTTC